CTCTTCACACGTTTTAATTAATTTTAGCTACTTCTCATTCGCTCCCCCATCCACATATTTAGCTACAATTATTTGTCTCCTTCACTCACTCTCTTCACATTTTAATTCAAATTTCATTCTCACATTCATTTAGCCGGAAACATTTTCCACATTCACTCAAAAAAGACGCTAATTTGATCAGAAAATGTAATTAATTCAAAATTTGTATTTAATATTTGTGCTACTTAGCAGTTAGTTGAATATCTTGAAAGAAAAATATTTTTCAACTACAATTTACTCGAAAAAACTTGATCTCCGTGTCACGGAGATCGCTTCTCCGTGACACTTCGAGAGTGTCACGGAGCAGCTTGCTCCATGACACTCTCGAAGTGTCACGGAGCAACTCTCTAGCAGAATTTTTTTTTTTTTTGTAATATGAGAGTGTCACGGAGCAGCTTGCTCCGTGACACTCTCTAGCAGAATTTTTTTTTTGTAATATGTTTTATAAACAAAAATATCACATTTTGTTTAAAATATTAATTTTTGATTTTAATTTTGTTTAGTATAAAGACGTGAAAAAAATTATATTTGTTTGGAAATATTAATTCTTAAATAATTAATTGTACAATTAACAGTAATTTGTTTTACTATAATAGATGTGTACAATCAAATGAAAATATAAATTCTTGAAAAAATTATTACAGTTCCTTAAAAATATTAATTCTTGTATAATTGATGCAGATATCTTTAGAATATGTTTTCTCTCTGGAACAATGGTTTTCTGCTACCATCCTTCAGTATCCAAATCGTCAATACTTTCAAGATTTTATAAATTTCATAGATGCAAATCAACAATGTTATTTGATGTGTAGTAATTTTTATGGATTTATATATGGAGCTATTTTCAAAGGAGACGAAGAACAATTTACTAGCAAGTTGGTACATGAATTTATAATGAGACTTGTGCATTGTGGCAAAAATAATAAAGTTTGGGTACGGTTAGATGGCCATCTTGCTAGGTTTGGCTTACAAGAATTTTGCCTCATTACTGGACTACCTTGTCATGAACCATCCGTAGAAATTGATTATAATAACCATCGTCTTAGAAATCAATACTTCAATGGCACAAAAAAAATTAGCAAAAGGATGCTTTTTGAAACTTTCCACATGTGTGAAGATACAGAAGATAAATTTAAATTGGGATTAATTATGTTGGTTGAGTGTGTGTTGAAACCGACTTCACGACAAGTTGATTATAGAATTCTGGGCATGGTTGAACATCTGAATGAGTTCCTTACATATCCGTGGGGCCAAATAGCATATTTCGTTTTGTTAAATTATTTGAAAGAGTCACAATTGGAAAGAATAATAAGGATGCAACAGAATGGACAGACAGAATGTAAGTATGCATTACAAGGTTATCCACTCGCATTTCAGGTATTATGTTCCTATTCTAATTACTTACGTATTATGTATAATTTCTTTGTACAAAGAATAAAATTTATACATCACATTTCTCTTTTTTTACGTTGCAGTATTGGATATATGAAGCGTTTCCACAAATTGGACAAAAGTTTAGTCACCGTAAACACAGAACGGTGTAGATTCCACGAATCTATAATTGGAGGTCTAATACTATACTGAAGGAATCGGTTGTTAAGCAATTTTTGGATACTCAAGATGTATGAATTTTTTATTTTCAATGTACAATGACATTCGCATTTTATTATTAATAAGTTCAATTAAACAAATGGATTCTAATAGTTTGTTATGATTACAGATAGAAGTCATTGCAGTGTTGCAGCCTACAGAGGAAGAATTACAAACACCTTGGTACACAAATCTTTCTCTGCCGGCTGACGATGAACATAATATATTAGATGACATTGTCATTGGAGAAATAGATAATGTAGTACCACAAATACCGGATAACATCCGTATGCAAGAAACGACCAGTCGTGGCACATCGAGAACTTCAACTGGAGTTGGGCCTAGTTCTGCTTCTGGTGCCTCCAGATATGTAACTGAAGATCGAATGGAAGAAATGTTGGGTATGTACAGGCAACATACGATATCAGATGTGTCCAGTCTGTGTGGCAACTTGAAGGCAGAATTTGTTAAAGAATCCAGAGCCCTGAACCAGGATATCCTTGAAAGCCAAAAGCAACTGTTCGAACAACATAACAAATCGATGCAAGATTACATGCTATGTGGTATGCAGTCATACATGGATAATTCTCTATCAAATATGTTTAGCACTCAAATGGCCCAGGAATCGCAACAACAAGAAGCCCATTATCAGGCGATTCTTCGAAAACAAGAAGAATTATTTCAGCAGCAACAGGAGCACATACAGTCTTATATTGATACAAGTTTATGTTCTGTCAGATCTTACATTGACGAAAAGAATGAGAATATGCTAAACAGATTATCTAACTGGGAATCCAACATGGAAGCCATTATAGGTTCCATGCAGCAGGATGTTCCTCTCCATGCAAGTCCAACTCCTACTGTTCAACCGCATGAGACATCAACGTCTCAACCAGCAGAAAGTGTTGACATGCGGAGAAGAGTAAGGGAAAAGAAGATGAAATACACACAGACTTTATCATCCACAGGCCGTCCCTTAGAAGACTACGATATGAACAAGTACAAAGACATTAGGAATTGGATATCGAGAAATCAATTTGGGTAACAAATGTAACTCATTCTGAATAGTCCGAATGCTACACATTATTATATCTATGTAAAAAATTATTTGTTGAATTATTTGACAGTAATTTAAATTATGTTATACAGTGCATATTTAGACGATGGCCGTGGCAATGTCTATGGAAGAGACATGCTAAAAAGTTTAATGGATCCGACGAAGGATCTGAATATTGTGGTGAGTGAAGGTTTGCAATCACAATAAATTTAATTTCGTAGTTAATATGTATAATATATGTTACATATATTTATTGCATTAGCATATTGAGCTGGAGCTGAAGTTATTGAGGCAGCGTATGAATGAAGATTGTACTCTCGTCAATAAAAAATATGCAATTTTGGATTTTCAATTTGAAGAGGAGTGTTGTCAGCAAATGAGGTGGCACATGGAATATAACCAGACAGGTGAATCAGATGGAACTCGCCTACAAGGCTATGTCAACGGTACATTGCCTGTAGTTGGTCGTTCGTGGATGGGATGCAAGTATTTATTAATTTCAAGTGCATATCCAGGCAATGAATGTTATCTGTTTCTGGTCAATATTCGTGAATGGAAATTCTACATATACGACTGCAGCAATAATGTTCACACACCTGATGCAATCAAGGCTCATGTAGAAGCAACATGCACAGTCGTTCAAACATTATTGCAGTGTGAACCCCTGTCCACCAGACGAAATATAAAAAAACATTTAGATGATCCAATGAAAATGGAGATTATACCTTATCTACCGTGTGCGAACAATGGGTGAGCATTTCAACTCTTGTTATTTACTACCGTAGTTAATCTATTGTATATACTAATTTCAACTAACGAAAAATCATTTATTGTACAGGCCAAATTGCATAATGTTTGTACTCAAGTATATAGAATGCTTCGTTCTCCGGCATCTAATAGAATCAGTTTCAGCAGAGAGAATGTCAATATACAGAAGAAAGATTGCGGTCGATTTTTTGAATAACGAATACTTTCTTTATCCCTGATAGTGAAACAATTGTAGTGGCTTAGCTGTACTTTGCTTGTGTAACTGTTGATGATCAGCCGGTTCATGATACCGCCTTTTGCAATATGTATTTTGCTTTATGTGGTACATAACATGAATTTTGGTTTTATGTGGTGGCACGTAAAATGTATTTTGGTTTACACAGTGGTTTGCATATTTCGATTTATATGGTGGTATGTAATATGTTCTCGAAGTGTCATTCTAGACAAATGAAATATCAAGTGTCGAGATTCACAGCTATGTAATGTCGAGAACGACATATCAAACGTCCGAAAATCGAAGAAATGTAGAGAAATATCGTATTTTGGTCCAAGTGTCGTTCTAGACATTTGTAATGTCAAGTGTCGAGATTAACAGCTATTTAATGTCGATAACGACATTACAAATGTCGAGAAGGCATCAAATGTCAACATAAATATGATCCAACCAAATTTAACTAAGAGTGAAGGCAACCAAATGGTGTAATAACTGCGAAAACTGTAGCAAGCAGCTTTATAATTACTATAGCAGTTAAAGTTGGTATGCCAAGCACAAGTACGTTCTCAACCATATTGATGTGAAAAAAAGTTGTAAAATAATGACCATCAATGACTTCAACCATATTGGTTGGTGAGATATCTTATCGTGCATTCAACGGACAAGTGTTTCTCCAGTATAAAATGTTGGACTTTACTTAAATATGTACATACGAGAATTTAACAAAATCATAGCACTAGTTAGTTTTTCCATTGATTATGTCTTCATCAACTCAACATACTCCTATTCTTGATGTTACTATCACTTTCGACTCCCCTGGGTCGTCCGCGGACAACCCGATCATCATTGACTCGGACTCGGATGATGAACGCAATATTTTTGTTCTATATGTTCGTCAACCTTCGAACCACCATCGTAGGTTTTGCCTTCAACCAATCCCTTTTCCGAATCTAATCGACGAAATTGAACCAATTCAAGTTCATCGTGAGATCGTCCCAGTACCGGTCCAACCGAAAGCACATCATGTGTTGTAGGATGAAAATGTTGGAGCAGTTCTCGTCGAAAATGAAGATGTGATCATCATAAGCTCCGACGAGGAGTACGACAGTGATATGTCCTCTTTGTCCGTCGTGGAGGATATGTAGAAGATGCAGTCTTCGTAAGTGAAATATTTACGTACATATAGTAGTGCTATAAAATCCATATAGGTGATGGATAATTTTTTGGGTGATCACCATTTTGTATAATAGTTGTCTACGATATGCATTGGAGTTATGGCTTCCTTTTGTTATGATTACCATTTTGTCTGCTCCAATGACTTAGGAGAACGAGTCATTCATGGGTTGCTTTTGTATCCATTACCACATTGTGTCTACAATGATTAAGAAAATCCCAGTGATGAAATAGATATATACTTATTCACTTATATGATGAACAAAATGATATCGTAGTGAAATGTTCATAAGAATATATGTAAGCACCATTTCCCTTGTTGGTAGTTATACCCCAAACCTGGCCTCTCTTGTTTGTATCCAGTATGACATTCAAAAATGAAATGTTGTTTGCATTTAGTGAATGCCCATACGAATTTTCCTATTTGTGCGCTATAAAATTTTGAACGACTAGAATAATATAAGAGAAAAATCACAAAAAATGGGAGAAATCCATATAAAGGATTCAAAATATATTACAAACTTAATTTTACAACAAGCAATTGCAAATAAGTGATATCAAGAGAGAACGAAGAAAGAAACAGAAAGAAGTAGAAGTCAAAAATATATTCAATAACATTTAAAATAAGAGGTAGAAAGCAAGTAATACAAAAGAAAAAAAATTCAAAACATTGATAATTCATGTTATCAGGGCATTTGACGATCAGAATACACAATGTCATTCAAGTATACGTGTCACTTAAAGATGTCGAATTCTGACATGTTTGCCTGTTATGTCCAGAACCCCCACATCGGCCGCATTTTCGTCTCAACGTCGACCTTTCAGTTCTTGATCGTTGACGTTGGGTAGGAGGTCGACCTGGTGCTCTACGTATATTCAGGGGCAAAATTTCGACGGAACGAATAGACTGAGGAACAACCCAATCTGACTCTCGGCCAATGGGGTGAAGAACTTCATTGTACGCAGCTCGCCAATATTCTGTGGTGTAGTAAGAGGAGCACAAATCATACAATGATTTTTCTTTTGCGCAAGCAGCTCGGGATGCATGTGAACATGGGATTTGTCGCATCTGAAACTCTCGACATGAACATGTGTTACCTATAAGGTCGACAGTACAAAGTTCGGTAGCTATACCTACCTCAAAAACGAGTTCGTCCAAATTTCATACTGGTAAAGTTGCACCGGCGTCGAATGATTTTCTCAATTCATCATCAATTTTTGGTGTCACAGTCGTACTACATTTCGTGGATGCACTTTTTCTCTTGTAGAACCATCGTTGCATCAATGACGTAATATTTTCGATTAACGAGGTTATAGGGAAACTTCTTTGTTGCCTTAGGACTGAATTCAGTGACTCCGCAATGTTATTCGTCATAACGTTGTACCGATTACCAACACAATGTGCCCGTGACAAGGTGGATATACCGGCACGTTCCAAGTAAGATGCCATTGATGGTCGAATGGTTCTTATCTGTGTCATAAACTGATCAAATTCCGATACGCGGTATGCTAGCGCTGCCCGCTTGAATAAGAAGATGACATTGCTACTGCTATACCTTGCAATAAGATTTTTCTCGATATGCCAGATGCAGGCACCGTGGTGAGAAAGTGGGAACAACCTCGTAATTGCCCGCTTAATACTCTTCTTTCTGTCCGACACAAACACTAGCTGGTTTGAATCATCAATGACATCTTTCAACTTTGCAAAGAACCAATACCACGATGCATTTGTTTCCCCATCGACAACACTCCACGCAAGAGGATATATTTGTAGGTTAGCATCTTGCGTTGCAGCTACTAGTAGTGTTCCCTTATATTGGCCCTTCAAATGACTTCCATCAACACAAATTACTGGCCTCATGTATTCTCGAAAACCACGTACACTAGGCCCGAACGCTAAGAAGAAGTATAAGAACCTATTATTCGAGTCGAGTTCAATATGTGCAATAGTTCCTGCATTTTTCTCGGTTAACATGTGACAATATGATGGCAATTTCTGGAAACTTTCTTCGGGTGTACCACGAAGAAATCGAAGTCCCTTATCTTTAGCCCTCTACACTTTGATGTAGGTAATCCGTACACCAAACTTACGTTCCATATCCCCAATAATACCCGCAGGAACGTATGATTGGTTTGCATCGTCCAACCTTCGCATTATGTGATGCCCAATTATTGCACTCGTTGCGTGAATTTGTACATTTCGTTGAACATCTAGAGAACATGTGTGCTCAGGTATGTACTCTCGAATCGTAAAGATTTCTGAAGTTTTTATCTCAGAAGCTCGTACTAGCCAATGGCATGTAGTATCGACACAACACACAGTAAGAGATCTAGGATTCGACTTTTTAACCTTGAAATGAAACTTCTCTTTCAAAGCCTTAAGTTGAAGCCTTGTGTCTAACTGTCGTTTGCTAAAGAATATCTGATTCTCCACAATGTCCTCTTCATCAATCGACTCAATTGCATTTCGAATAAACAAATTGCCTTCTCCTAAACTTTCATTCATATTATCAATCGTTTGTGGCTCTTGTAGTTCGCACATACCGATTTCATCGCGTCCACACAATGCATCTTCTATTGGTGACAAATGCTCAACTCCGACATGCAGTTCGTGCTCTCCAGCATTATATTCATCTGCAATTACACACAACGCCGCTTCTGTGTGAACAGACATAAACCATTGCAATTCCTCCTCGTCGGCTACATTAGCTGGGGGTATATTCATGTTTGGAACTGTAAATTTCAATTGAATTCGGAACTTCATTCTATCAACATTCAGCTTCTCGAATAATTTATGTACAAGCTCTTCATATGTAATATCATGTCGAACAACAATTGATATTGTTCGGTTCCCTAACCACTTCCAATGTTGACGAATCTACTACCATACGAGACAACAAATCTCTTAACATCTCCCATAACTGCAAGTCATAAACAACAATACTGTCAACCACTAATGAAAATCGAAAACGAAAATGCTACCTGCATGCAATATGTGAATCACTCTACACGAAAATTTACCAACTTACTCAAATTTTTAATGTTAATGTCAACATTTAACAGTGTCGAGAATGATAGTATAAATATCATTCTCGACGTTTATAATCATTATTGACATTTATAAAATGTCGAGAATGAAATGACGGGGTTTCATGCATTTATCATCTTCTTCAACTTCAACCACCATTTTTGCAAGAATTTATTCCACCATAAATAATATTCTAAATATAGAAGTATATTATCTAACTAAGTTATTTAAGATGAATGGTACGAAAAATATATACTCAGGATAATTTCGTCCAAGGGAAAAAATACTTTATCAAAAAATTGAGATTTGAACATATACAACAACAACTACTAAATAAAACTTATCAAAAAAAATGAGGGTTCGAAAAAATAGAGTTCAAAGAAATATACCTTCTACCGACAAATGATGAAAGCCTAATCAGCTTCAAATTTCTACCACAGTAAATTTCTTAAAATAATTTCTTTGAAGTTGGAATTATATACTTCTTCGTATATGGTAATGGAATTTTTGCTTCTTCTTCATTTGTTCTAGAATAATTGATTAAAATATAATTAAAAATATAAGCAAGTGGACTCACCTAGGTAATAGTAACATTATTGTGCCTTCTCGTAGAAGTTATTTGCTCTTCTTAAAAATTGTGCCAAAGTGATATAAAATTGATTAAATTTTTCATGAGGGTAAAGTAGACATTTTGATCTAAAAATTGGACATTTTTGCAAAGATTATAAAAAAAAGTACACTTTTCAACTCCAACCCTTATAATTGGACATTCTTGAAAATGCCTCTTCATTTTTTTATGTTTATTTTAAGCGAGATTTTTTTATTTTTTATTTTTTGGGAAAGTTACGAGACTTCATTTACAATTTTTTTCTTAGTTTATGCTGTTTTACTCAAAGTTCTAAAATGTGTAATGCGTGACAATAGTTTTAGATCGAGCATTATACATTACAAGCATATGCAAAACATATAGTAATTAAGCTTTTTTCAAATTTTAATATTATTTTGAATATTCTAAAATAATGAATTCTTTAAACTCTATACAAGTTCTTCAAATTTTCAAAAATGTTTCTCAAAATTATAAACACTAAAATTACTTGAACTTTATGTTTATTCTTCAAATTTTCAACAAAAATATATTGCTCAAAATCATAAATACTACAATTACTTGGTAATGAATTCCTACAATTAGATTAGACATGAATATTGACTTAAAAAATTCTAAATCGTGTCTAGTCATTTATCGAATTTTAATTCAATCTCATCTTCTTCATCCAAGTCATCTTTCGTGTCATCCAATACAAATCATCTTCATTGTGCTTCCTTATTTCAATTTAAAAATTTATATTATTTCTTATAGATTGTAAGATATTATTGGCAACCACCTCATCATCATCACTATCATCAACAATTCAAGATTGCACATAACTGCAACATTTGCTAGTAAAACAAGCAGAAGATGGAAGAAGAAGGAGGTTTAGGCTCGGCGTAGATAATTTGTAACTCCACGAAAAAGTTGTTTTGATTTTTGATTTTTTTAAATGTCAAAACCTAGCATATTGCTCTATATAATCCATGGATTTGGATGATTTGGGCTAATTTGATGTTTACTGAGCTCAATTTGATTTTTTTTTTAAAGGTAACAATGGGATGGGCTTTGCCATACTTTGACACATTCGTAATACAAATGTGCATTTTGGTGTTTACGCGTACATATGTTATCAACGAACCGAGTTGATCGTATTCACGTACAGTACATACCCCATATACGAGGTATTTCGAAAACATAACAAAAATATAAATTTTTCTTTAAAATTGTGGAATTCACTTTGCCGACGTACTAAAAATGCCAACCATTAAGCTTTATGTAGACATGTGTCGTTAGGTTGATTTACATACCTTCTCCTCGAGGTTCCATTTGCCTGCCAAATGGGGAAAAATTTGTTATTAAAAAACTTAATAATTACAAACTAAACGGTATCAATTACTGAATTTCACTTTATTTTTGAACTAATCATCACTGAAAATAAAGTTGTCATGATCCCTATATGGTTGAGGATTCATTACTTAATTATTTTTCATTTTCACTAATCAAATATAGCATATAAACTATTTAAAAGCAACAAAGAAAAAATATAATTAGTCATAGTCATACATCTTAAAGTTAACGAAATAATTTGAATATGTGCTTGTTTGGTAGGAATTTTGATAATTGATTTTTTGACTGTTGAAGATAAAGTGAGTCTTACCTGTGAGAGAATAATTCAAAAATGATGGTTAGAATAGTAAAATATAGTCAAAAAATTAATTTTAATTGGCTTAAGAGCTGTAACAAACAAGCTCTATATAAATTCATATAATTCAAAATTCATCTATAATAACTCTAAATTCATATAGTTCAAGATTCATCAAATGATTCATTGAATCTAGGTTAACATGAATGTTAGTTAATTGAGAATTAATAACACAAATTTCATAAATGACAATAATTATATAGTATTTATTATATATTGAAAAACAAAAAATAAGGTATTGTTGAAATATTTGAATTGTAACAGGGTTAAAATTGTTAAAGTTTGTGACTTAAATAGAAATCTTGAATCGCGTGTTTTTGGTGTTTGGAAAGGGGTCTAACTGCATTCAACAACAACGAAACAAACTTCCATCAAAATTGGGTTTCCTAATTGTAATAGATTTTCTTACATTTTAGGACTCTTCTAGAGTTTGAAATGTGGCCTACAAATACTATGCTCATATGTCAGTTTTGTTTAAACATTATTGCTGTATCTGTAATTTCTTTCTATATTGTTAGTTTATAATACATCGTTCATCTACGATAAATTTTCTCTATTTATTTCTTTACTTTTAATCTTATTTCTTGTTGTGATCTTTATTACTTCACATCATCATTTAATCTCATTCATTACAATCTCTTCGAGTCCAACAAGTAGTATCAGAGCTTGGTTCTTCTTTGGTGGATTGGTTGGGGTTTTTCAGAGATGACTACCATGAGGTATGACATTCCGCTATTGGATTGCAATACAAGGTTTTCTTTGTGGCAAGTAAAGATGATGGCTATTCTGGCGCAATTGGATTTGGATGATGCGCTGCAAGATTTTGAGAAGATGTCAGTTGACTGGACAATGGAAGATAAACCACGGATGGATCGGAAGGCTTTATCGAAGTTCCATCTTCATTTATCCAACAATATTCTGCAGAATGTCTTGAAGGAGAAAACAACGGTTATTTTGTGGTTGAAATTGGAGTAGTTATTCATGACTGAAAGTCTCACTAGGAAACTGGCTCTAAAGCAGAAGCTATGTTCTTATCGCATGGCGGAAGGAGGGTCACCGGAAGACCATATTACCGTATTCAAGGAAATAGTTACAGATTTAGAGACGTTGGAGGTTAAGTACAATAAAGAGAATCTGGTCTTGATCCTATTGTGTTTGTTGCCTAACTCGTATGCTTCGTTTCGGGACACCATTTTGTATAGTCGTGATATTTTGACTATAGACTATGTCTATGATGCTTTGCACTCAAATGAGAAGTTAAAACATTTGGTTGGAGATACATTGAGGGATAAAGAAGCTTTTGTATATCATGGTGGTTGACGAAGGGACGGATTGAAAAATAACAGCAATCTGTTTTGCTTCTACTGCATATGTAAGGGACATATTCGGAAGGATTGCATAGACTTCAGATGAAACAAATATAGTTGAGGATTTTTTAGACAGCGGAGATGTGATGTTGATTGTGGTATCTGACGTGGAATTTAGGCCTGACGAGGAGTGGGTTCTTGATTCGGCATGTTCGCATCATATGTGTTCCAATCG